AAACCCCAAAACCCCAAAACCCCATGATTAATTTAAATTTATTATTGTAATATTTATTGATAAAATATTGAATCTATCTTAATTAATCATGTTGATTTCTTTAAATTTTGATCTTTATCTTTTTTAACTTCTTTTCCTTAGGATAATACAGAAGTTCTAAACATGGGAAATAGAATAATTTCTCTAATGTGACTTATACCGCACATTAGCATACAAAGTCTATCAATTCCACAACCCCAGCCGGCTGTTGGAGGCATTCCATAACTTAATGCCTCTAAGAAGTCTTCATCTGATCTATGAAGCTCCTCATCTTAATGGCCTTCATCGCCCATAGTGGTTTGCAAGGAAAAACCTTTCCTTTACATTTCAGAATCATTTTACTCACTGTATGAATTTATAATCTCTTTTTTATTAATGAATAACTCAAATCTCTCAGATAAATATTGAGCGCTATCTCCGTATATTTAATTTCCATATTTTCCTTAGGCATGAGTCTTTGCTAAAGGACTCATGATCATTGGATGATTTGTAATAAAAGATGGTTAAAGGCACTTAGATTCTATATGATACTCAATCAATTTATCAATAAGCTACTTTTCATTTAGCGAATCAGGATTAAGATTCCTTTCACCGATTCCATAAACCTTTGGCAAAAGAAATTTCCTAAGTTCTTAAGCACTTTTGCCTAATAATGCAGGATCTAAACCTAGCTCTGAGCAGACATCAAATTGCTTATATGGACCTTTAAAATTAATTTCAAGTACTTTAGTCTCTTTTACTTACTCGCCAGCTTTATCCCCTTTGGTAATCAATTTCTGATCCATATCAAATTATGGTATCAATACATGATCCGTTCCATAAAGTTCTTTAGATAATTTACTTAATAGATCTTCAGTTAGAGTTATTAAATCACGATAATCGGCATAAGCCATATAAAATTCAAGGGATGTGAATTCTGGATTATGAGTAGCGTCTATTCCCTCATTTCTAAATACCTTACCTAATTCATAAACTCGCTCAAAACCTCCTATAATTAGCTTTTTCAGAAATAGCTCTGGGGCTATTCTCAACTCAAGTTTTTATCGCAAAATTTAACTTTCGGTTTCAAACGGTTTAGCTAGAGCACCTCCAGCCTAGGCATTTAAAATAGGAGTTTCAACTTCTAAAAATTCTAAGTCTTCTAAATATCTTCTTAGGAATTTTACTATTCTTGCTCTGGTAACAAAAAATTATTTAAGTTCATTGTTAGCTATTAAATCTAGATATCTCTTTTGGAATCTTTGCTCTGAATCTTTGAGAGTCTTTTTGTGGCTCCAATTCATCATAGGCATATTGACATTGCAAGGAGTAAGCAAGTTAAATTTTTGAGCGATAATAGTGAATTCTCCTGCGTTCGTTCTACCAGGATAACCTTAAATACCCACGATAGCTCCTCTTTGACATGCCTCAGCAATATCTTTAAAGCTTTCTTCTTAATTTAATAGCATTTTGCTACTGTCGAGCATGATTTAAATATTATTTCCATTAGACTAGAGATCTAAGAATAACAGATTGCCTGAAGCCTTTCTTCTTCCAATAATTCTCCCTCCAGTTTATATGTTAACTGTTTTGAAATGTTCATTTGTAAGATCAATTTATGAATATTGATTTTAAATCTCTATAATTGAGTGAGAAAGAGCGAAGTAAGGCGACACCATATAGCTACTAGGCTTTATCTCTGTTACTGAAAATTGTCTAATTGAAGGTTTTGTTAAGAGATGCGATTTTTTGAAAATGCTTTGGCCTCTTTTTAGATTGAAACTTAATATACTTGCTCTCATTTATTGATGGTTTTAATATTTATTATAATTTTAAAATGATTCCCATAATTACGAATTATTTTATTATGGGGTTTTGGGGTTTTGGGGTTTTGGGGTTTGGGG